TATTTATTTAGCCTTCTGACGCTGATTGAGAAAAAAAGCCGTTTCCTGACTCCTTATTTTTACCAATCCACTACAACAAAGATCAAAAAAAGCAGCTCAGCAGATAATTTCATATAATAGTTCAGTATAAATACCCAGACAATCTAATTTGCTATGTCTGCGTGGTTTTTATTCCCCGTTTTTCTTCGTCCTAATTATATTACATAGCAATAATGTTAAGGATCTGATAAACGCCAGCCAGTAATTCTGTTTAACGGGACGCGTCCGTAGAAGCACGGCTCGGATTGTGGGTTGAAAAATGGATGCATGAGTGGGCGTAAATAATTTGAGTCTAGACTGGGCACTTAACATTGCAGATGTATTATTTAATAATGCTGCATCTGAAGGACCTCCTAATTACCCGAACGCGATGGAGTGCAAACCGACAGGAGAGTCCACAAACGCTGGAAAACACTCCACGACACTCGCTAAAGATCAAACCAATCATTTCATTACTCACAACGACCGCGTCCCCGTCCTCTGCCAAATGACAACTGTTGTTATGCTTATGTGTTCTTTAGTTCAATCATATCCTGCTGCTGCGAGTGATCTGGTTTTTTAAAAAAAACAAAACGTGGTGCAGGCAGAATGAGTGTGAGAGGCAGGCGGCCAAATAGACTGTGTCTACTATCCTTGGCATGCCGGCCACATCCTGCAACAATGCTGAAGGGTCACAGTTCATGGGCCCGGTTTGCTGGCTGCGGCACACCAATGAAACCGCGGCCCTGGACACACACAGAATTTCTACACCCTCACATGAGCGCATACAACAAATGGAAAAAAAGAGTCACTGCCAACAGCTTTAATGCACTCGGCCGTATTGGGAACACCAGGTGTTGCAGGGCCTATTTTAATAAGCCCGCCAGACAGCTAAGCGAGGGGCTGCTCTCAGTCAATTAAAAGCCTCTCTCCTCCCGACACGCCACCTGAGAGTCCTTCTGCTGGCCGTAAGAACAAACACTGGTCGCGGCGATGGTAAACTTATCACTGGAACAGAAAAACACGCTTTCACATAAATTCCAGTCGGCCGTATCCGCGGGCTCTCGGGACGAATCGAGAGCGGAGACGTTCCACCGAGCCACGAGGTCTGCGTTCTCCCTCTCCATCGATTTCTCCCCAAGGTGTGCATACGTGCGCGTGACTTTTTCCCTCTTGTCAAATGTGACACGACTGGCTAATTTAATGGCCGTGTAGCGAGAAGGGTCCTGTCTCCCCGGCAACCAAACAAACGGAGACACGTGCTTCCTCTCGCTGTTGGCTACGAGCGACGGTTTGGATAAACACCGGGCGAATACTGGAAACTTTCACTCTCACATTTTCACTCACACGCTCTGTCTCTAGTTTTTTTTTTCCAGGTTACTTTCGCAGTACACTCCATCTTTGGGAAAAAGGCAATCAGGGTACAACAAGACATGCACGTGTTTCAGTCAATGGAAGAAAATACTATTGAGACGGCACCTCCTTTTCGGATTCTTTAAAAACTGTTCCAAGGAACATTTTTAGACTGAAGCGTTATGTCATAGCAGAGAGTCTAGATAACCGAGAGGCCAGACGCAAGAGCTGTGTTCATCTGTTACTGTTTAGACCCTGTTAATGACAAACCCCGACACTTATCAAGGTTAAATAAAGAAAGACATGCAAACTGTGGGGCATTAAGTCCCAAAGCCTTTAGGTAGGTGAGAGGTATTCAAATAAACCAACAAGGATTTGTTTTTTTTTTAATCTTTGAAAACAGATGTGTCATTAAAAAAAAAAAAAGCTGGAGGACTCACAGATCATAGTGTTGGTTCCACTTTGGGTCAAGTGTGTTCCTCACAGTGTCTGTAGAGTGGCATTGTCCCGAACCGTCCACAACCACCTTGGCGAAGGGATCGGGGAGGCCTGCAGGGAGAGAAGACATCGTCACCACGCTCGTGCCAAGAATAAACAGTTCAGGAGGAGACAAACAACAAGAACGACTCGACAGACGCTGTGGTGTCGGCAACACTCGAGCCAGACCAGATTACTCATCGCTCACTTCCGCAAGAGTCTTGTCTTTTGATGCCAAGTGAGGTGACGAATGTGCGGCTATTTTCCATGACAAAGCTAAATAAAAGGTCATATTTCACGAGACAAACTGGCACCCTTTCATCCCCGCTCTTGACCAAACCGGTCGAGGCAGATGCCTGGTTCAGACAGGTGTTCTGGCCCACTGCTCATCAGTAAAGGGCTCTCATTTGCCCAGGACAGTTTTGGTTTTTTTAAATTTTTCTTTTCAACCACAATGCAAAAGCAGTGTCTTATTTCACTAAAGTATAATTTAGCAAATTTTTATTTATTATTACTTTTTTTAGTTTCTAGTTATTCAAGTGACTGTTGTGGATTTTGCTTTTTCTTTAATGGAGGGGTATGAATACATTTGAGGACGACTGTATATGAATTAGATTAATCACAGGTTTAATTGTTTTTCAGTGAGCTGCAGCATCTGGGGAATCACACCATCAAGGTTTCCTTCGTGCAGTAGATTTACGACCTGTTGTGCTGCTAAGACGCTTCCTTACACTCACTGACAGAACACGTCAGGCAGGATCGTTGTCTAATGGTTCCTGGAAGTAAACAGACTTCTGAACTAAAGTCGTCTCCACATCACAATGAGACGCGGCAACAAAAGCGGCCGTGACAAAGTGCAAACACGCAGGCAGCTGTCGGCGATTACAAAAGGGTGGGCGAACGTTGATCTGGCTGCTAATGCGGCGCAGGTGATGTGGGCGTAATGCTGACGGTACTCTCAGAAACGTTTGACTCACTCAGGAGGTATGAGTCAGTTCCAGGATTAATGACGGCGCTCCATTTAGAGCTTCTGCTAAATGTTAAGGAAACAACGTTGGATAACTGTGTTATTGTGAGCCACCTATTTATTGTCTGTCCTCGGGCTAAACCCAGACAGGTTCCCAATGTTTACATCCTTGTTTTACATTCGCAGTAACTTATTTAATTAGTCAGCAATATCAATCAATAACTGGTTATACACATGCCGTTCACATAGGCGGCCGTTACATTCGCCACTAGGACAACGGGACAGCGTCCTAATTTATCCCAACTTTAAGGCGTTTGCGCTGCCTGGAGGTCATTAAGCCTCACAGAAGGCGCTGTCATGGTGGTGTCTGTGAAGATCCTCAGTCATCCAGGTCATGGTTCTTCTTATAGATTAATCAGCAACTGCTTGAGTTCCTTGAAGACGTTCCACCTTCATCCAAGAGGCTTCATCAGGTCTGACTGACTAGTTGGGAGTTCCTGATATTTATTAAGGAGCCATTAACACCTGAGTTTTAATTGGGGGTTTGTTGCTCCTCCCCCTCGTTATGCGAGTCGTTAGTGCTCCCCCTCCCTAACGAACCCCATTGTGGCAGGGGGAGCACTAATAATGACTCACATAACAAGGGGGAGGAGCAACAAACCCCCAATTAAAACTCAGGTGTTAATGGCTCCTTAATAAATATCTGGAACTCCCAACTAGTCAGTCAGAGCTGATGAAGCCTCTTGGATGAGAGGTGGAACGTCTTCAAGGAACTCAAGCAGTTGCTACGATTAATCTACGAAAACACCACAATGCTCACTCCCCTCCTGCCGTCGCTACGGTATTACACATTTGGAGGTAGGTACTACAGGTAATTACAATACTTGAAAAGTTTATTATCTTGGAAAATGGTAAACTAAATATTAAATGACTCTGATCAGGGGAAAAAAACTGGAAACTAGGGCTGGTCTGAATAGCAATGTCTGAGCTTTGGATATTCGGGCCTATTTAATGACAAATATCCAAATATTCGGATCTCAAAATTGCTGTCCAGATACCACCACAACGACTGAATATTCGGATATTCGGGTCCAGCCCTACTGAAAACTAGACTGGAAATTTTTTGGTTTTCGTCAATACTTATTTAAAGTCAAGTGCCGAAGGTAACCTCAGCTGGTAATAACCAAATAATGCTCTGAATTTGTGTTTTCAGTAGATGCAAAAATATATCCATGAACGGTTAAATTATTTATTGGTATTTTATAAGAAAAAACGCCAGTAGGCTGTAGGGATTTAACATTAGCCCTGACGTTTTTGATAACTTCAGACATTTTATACACACTCCAAAAATAACTGATAATGCAAATGAATACTCCAGGTCTATAATTCATAGTTGGGACCTTCAATCTAACCGCTAGCATCAATGACAACGACAAAAACAGAGACAGACACACAGAGAGAGAGGTTTTTCTCCATGTTCTCAGTGCCGCCGTCCACCGCCTCCCTGACTGAATGTTTGCTGAGCTCCTGAGCATTGGAATGGCAGGAATGGGCACCACAGAAACCACCTGAGTGAGCAGAGGACCTTTACATGCTCATTCACCATGACAGCCTGACCCAAACACGCCAAAACACTCCCGACACTCCAGACACCTACACATGAGCGATTAAAACTTCAGTGAGCGGCGGCTGCAGAAGAGGAGGACGATATATTCCCAGCTAGATTTCACAACGAGGGATACAACTTTAGTGTATATCGGCAATTAAAATAAGTCTTAGTTTGTGGTTTTGATTAAGGCAGTGGGCTACTACACTAGACCTGTTTCCAAAGACATGTAGAAAAGCCGGCACATCTGTTGAAATGGCTAAAAAAAAAAGAAGTAGATCCTGATGTGTTGCTGATGGCTAACAGCAGGCGTTTTATCAGCCAAAAGTGATCCACATTTCTCAAGTTCAAGAGGCCTTTGCAGCGAATGCATCATCTTTCCACAAATCCAAAAGGGAACACCAAAACAGGGTTCTAAAAGGAAACATAGGTTCATCATAAAAAGCTGATACTTACGGAAGAAGTCCTTCTTCACCAGGTTTTTGGCACAGAGGACTGAAAGAGAAAAGAAAAAAGGCAAAGCATTAAATCAAATAAGCAGCAATCTTACCAATAGAAAAGCAGGGCTATAGGAGTTTGTTCTTCCTAACAAGCGCAGTTTTGTGCTGCAAATTTTCGCAGCAAAAGGGCAAAATATTGTAGCGTGAAGCCATTATGAGTGTCAAATTCATCTGAAGCTGCTTTTTAAAACGGTTTTTATGTTCAGTTCTTTTGAGGTCAGAAAAGTGGGCAGGCGGCAGAAAACGATTCGACTATTAGAGGATTTCATCGACTTCAAAACAGCCACGAGCCAAACGCAGGTGAACTTTTGCTAAAGATTACACAAACTATTTCTTCCCTTTGATTAGACGGCGTATTTATAGCCCAGAATGCTGGCAACGTGTCAAGACGCCCTGTCAGCAGCAGCAGCAGCAGCAGCAGCGCCGGCCGCCACTCCCTCGCTGTAGGTTTAAAACCCGACGCTTTGGAGCAATTAACGGTTATTGTGTCATTAGAACATAAAAAACACTTCAATATTTAAATGTCACGCTGCTAACATCCTGACTTCAAGCTGCTGGAGCGGATGTTTAGTCTCCGTTTCTCCCTAAACCAGCCTGCCTGCAGCAGATTCTGCTGATCGACTTGGAGGCGGTTGCTGAGGTGACGAGGCCGAGCCACTCAGACCCTCCTGTGCAAGTGTGGATGGATGAGGAAGCTCGGCAACCACCTGGGCGTCTGCAGTTTCAGCCGGTGAGTCAGGCGCATGGAAAGAGCTTTGTGTGTTTCTCTACTGTAATAAGGTCATTCTGAGGAAGAGCCACTAATTGGTCTGGATATTGAAGTGGCTTATTCACTGGTTTGAAGAGAAATGACACACGATGACAGAAGTGATACAGACTAAAACAATGACAGCGTAGTTTACGTTTCACGAACGTCACCGTTGGTAGTGAACGAAACCAACTGTTCCAAAGAACTTCTGTACTTCAGTATTCTGAGGAAACTGTCCCGATAAAGGTCAGCCGCCAGCTGGTTGCTTAAAAGTTCTGCTCACATGAAACTGCAACAGAAACAAGACGTAGTCCAACACAGCAGTCCTGAATTAAATGCAACCTTCAAGAAGATTCAAATACATTCATGACTGAACAATCCCACAGATTGGCTGCGTTCAGACTGCAGGACTTGATGCTCAATGAGGATTTTTTTTGTGAAATCCGATTTTTTTTGTGAGTTCCTTCACGTTTCCAGTTCAATGCGACTTGTATGTGATCTGCTGTGTGAACTTCATACGAGCCAAAAGTGTCCCGCATGCGCAGAAGAGGACACGACGACGTCACACGCAGCGAGCGTGCTCAGTGTTTATGGAAGTAAACATGGATGGTAACGGTGGAGCGTATCTGCCACTCCCCCGCCGCCACCGATGGAGGAAACAGAAGTGTGAGCGCTAACTAAACTAGCATCAGCAGCCAAGTACTGCCTGTGTGTTCTGGACACTTCCACCCCGTCAGAGCGCTGCCCCGGGGTGGAAGTGTCCCCCGACCACACCGAATATTCTGATATTCATCATTAATTGCGCCCAGAAAGTTCTACTGGGACCAGCCCTACTAGTTATTATAACAACTATGAACAACAATAATTAACAACTAATGATCCTTCCAGCATCAAGCCCTCCTCGTATCTGGACCTCCGTCTTGACAATCCGACAGCCTTGATATCCGACATAAAAGAAGGTTTTACATTTAGTGTCGGATTATCGAGTCATGATTGTATTTTGGATTCCTACAAGTGTTTAAAAAAATCATGAAATGTGGAGCTGCAGCGCTGCTGAATTGCATGACTACAACTCAACACAACTGAGGTGTTTCTGTTATTTATTTAGCCTTCTGACGCTGACATCAACGGGGCGGACAAAAATAATAAACTCACTTGTCACTATTCGTCTTAGCTAGGTGTGCAGATAAAATGACAGTGGCAGCAGATTGTTCTTAAAAACGACAGCTGCGATGTGACAGGCATCACTCTGCCACATGAGCCCGTATTCACACCAATCTCTTATAGAGATAAAACGACAAGTCGGTTAATCGATCGGAAGCAATATGAGTAGAAACAGAGAAGTAGTCGTCTGATTATGGGGTTTGTCTGTGCCTTTTCTTTGGCCTGTACCCCTCACGTGCAGGTAAGTAGTAAGCAAGTAGTAGCAGACTGCAGCTTTACGCCATTAATTTATTTTCCTCTGGCCTCTCCGCTCCATGCCACACATACTCAGACACACACCACGTCCAGTATCACTCTGAATCACTTTGGGTTTCAGATGAAACGGTTTTGCCCACCAGGAAACGGAGGGAGGAGGACATACCTTCTGCATGAACAAAATTAAACACACAAATCACTAACTTCACACGCCGGCGTCCACATACAGCATGCACGAGGGTTTACACACACACACATATATATACACAAAAGGGGCATATGAGATTGAAAAAGAAGGAGGAGCACCAACTAAGCTGGATCCGTCTGGGGGTGAGGGGGGCGCAGAACATGCTCGACAGATGAGGAAGAATTTCTTTCCGCAAACATCCCTGGGAATGTGTTACGTTCCAGTGAAACCCACCTCATTTCTAAAACATCTGGTACGCATCACTTTCAGTCGCATTCTTCATGAACATAGAGGCGAGCATGTGCACACACACACACACACACACACACACACACACACACACACACGGGCCCCTGAGACACCTCACTCTCCACTCCATCCAACTCAGTGATCTAATTAATTAACAGCAACAGGGGGAAGGTATGTATGTGAACGCTCGAGTTTCTAAAGGAGGTGAAAAAGCTGGACCAAGTTAGCAGGTGACAGGTTTTTGTTTCCACAACGCTTCCCTGCCCATATGCCACAGACAGTATATACACGGTGCGGCGCAAAGCTTTCAGGCTCTTTAGATGTTTAGACTAGCCATCGAGAAGCCGTCGGGCAGCGTCTGATTGGTCCCAAGTCCTTTCTGCTGCATGATGATGACCCCAAACAGTCGTGAAGAGTCAGTTTGGGATTAAGACAGAAGATGTTGAACTGATAAATAAAAACCAGTATTCTATTGAAATCACTTTAAGAGCTTTAAACTTTTGCACAGCAGTGTAGTTAATGCAACAACAAAAAAAAAGGGCTTGACATTGATGTGACGGCGTTTCCAGAGCGGGTGGAGGGACGGACATCAAACGCTCCCAGTCTAGAAGTCACAATGCAATAAATCCACATGAGGTAAAGAGAGAGAATAGCGAACAACTGGGAAATATGACTCTGAAGCAAGGTACGGCAGCGGCAACAAAAACCGACATTCAAAGTCCAGGAACAAAGAAAAGACAATTGAGACCAACTGCAGAGAAAGGCAAGGCATGGCCCACACAACAGCCAGAGGAGCTTTAAACCAAAGCCGAGCCCGGGAAAAACCTGCAGACCCTCCAAGCGGTCCTTGGCCCGCCACACAGCAGGAAGGCAACACTACAATTATACCCATATAGGCTCCTTATGAAAACATACACGGGGCCGAATTACTGCTGAAAACAGAAAACAGAGAGAAAACCGCTGGAATGGTGGACAATGGTAGCGAGGAAGCCAATTAGGAAGTCTGAGGCTGCAGGAGGAGAGTACAAGGACAGCAATCAGGAGGCAGCCGGATCCAGCCGTCAGATTACAGCACTCATTATACGCTGATGAAACGGGGTCATTATAAAGTGTAAAGACGATTTGCATAAACTAAAGTGAACCCGCGTTTGCAAATAGAATCATCTCATGTTATTTGTAGGACACAAAACAGCCGAGGTAAAGTGTGTGATCGTGTACACACGGCAGCACGAGAGGATCTAAAAGTCTGCATGAGGTTTGCGCTGGCATACGCTGATTCCAGGAAATACCCATTATGCACGCGCTCCACCGTCGGACATGACAAAAGCTTTTGCCTCCTCTGCTTTTATATGTTCCCCAAATGAACTGCAAGCCACTGAGCGCACTACTTCCTTTAGTTGACCCAAGGGCTTTACTGAGAGGATCAGCAAAGCCTCCCTGTCTCTCCGAGGTAGAATGATTGATGCTGTGAGTGCTGAGGACTCTACGCGCTCTCAGAGCGCCGGCATAAAGGGCGGCCTGGGTTTTAGGGACCCTCGGTTTGAGCCGCCTGTCACCCGGCGTGGCAGGAGTGGCCTCGTTTATGTTTGACGAGGCTTCTCTGAGGGTTTCTCCCGTCTTTGCTCTGACATGCGTTTGCTGCTCTTTGAACCAAATTCTAAAAATTTAACACCTCTGGCTTTTAAAGTCATCTCTAATGAGGTTAACTTTTAACTGTGAATCCATTCTGAAGAGAAATCTGGTGGATAAATAGGAGGAGCCGGTGGCCTAGCGCTGGTGGGGCAGTCGGAAAGTGGCGTAAATGAACAGGCTAGTTTCTTTACCATCACCATATAGGGTCCAGAGCTTTAGAGCATGCAGGAAACAGAGCAATAGAGGTTTGTTATGTTAGCCTATATGGTGAATTTTACGTTAAAGCTAGCGAGGTTTTAGAGGAGAACATTGATAGGGCAGAAAAATGGTGCTTTTTGTGAGATTAACCAATCAGCATGTGCACTCTACAAGTTTAGCCAATCAGAGCCGAGACAGTTTTCCACATCCAGTCACGCAAAAACATCAAACAGACTGTGTAGAGGTGGTTGGAAATTGGTGGAAATGTAGAGCGGAAAACAATGAAATAAACTTAATGTTGTGAAAAATTATGTGAAAGCTGATTTCAAATATTTTCGTGCCATTATTTTTGAGCTCACGACTGGTTAATATCCTCGACACTCGGGGCAGATTTAAGCACAAAGACCCCTTGCTGAGGTATTTCATCAGGAGCTAAATGAGACATTAAATTCTCTTTCCTGATGCAAAAGCTTTACATTGAGTGAAAAGGCAACGCTTCTTCACCCACCGGTGCACAGAAATCCCCCAGAATTTATGTCATTATGGGAAATAAGGTGCTGAT